ATAATGATGAATTAAAAAACTAATGAAGAAAAATATCAACCTATAAGCAAAAATTGGTATAACCAAGTACTACACTGGAGAAAACATTAATGTAGAAAGAAAATTTTTATTCAATTAAATCAGTTAAGAGATCCCACTTCTCTTTCTCTATGCTTAGCATTTATAAATATAAAAATAAATTTTATCAATTTGATATTTTTTAATTAAGCAAAATTTTAATAAAAAAATAAATTATATTATTAATCGATTGTAATTATATATATAATTTATAAATATAAAAATTATAGAAATTAAAATAATAAAAATAATTTTTTATTAATAATCACTAATAATTATAAATTCATTTTGGAATTTGTCGCATCACAATAGATGAATACATCTCAACTAGGTTGGCACCTGCTTATCTATATCACTATCATTTGTAACTCTTTCCAAAATAATTTATCACAAGTTTTTAGCTAAGAAATAAAAATTATAAAATTAATTTCTACTCTTTATCTCTATATGCTATTCCCTTCATCAAATACAGTTCCATGGTATAACATAGTCTGGGGAGGTTTATCCTATCCAAAGCACTTATTTATCTGTTGGTTAGCTGTAAATAACAGATTACAAACTCAAGACAGGTTATTAAGAAAAGGTATTGTGAGTGCAAATCAATGTAAGCTGTGCACTGGTGCATGCTTAGAGAGCCGAGATCACCTATTTTTTGGGTGCTCTTTCTCCAAGGAAGTATGGAATCAAATCATGGATTGTCTTCATTTTAAATGGAGATCATGTTCTTGGAATTCCCTCTTGGATTGGTATTGTTCAAAGTTAAGAAAGAAAGATATAAAACAAAATATTAAGAGATCGGCACTATCAGCTACTATATATCATCTATGGTATGAGCGGAATATGAGAATTTTTCAGCATAAGCACAAGTCAGGGGAGATTTTGGTTAAGAAGATCAAAGTCGACATTCTAACAATATACCTAAACTCTCCGAATATTGCTGGAAATATAGCTGATTGGATTAGTTCATTATAAATTTGTATAGGCATTAAAGTTTACTATTTTTATAGGCATAGAAGTTCAATGTTTTTGTATTCTGATTGAATTCTCAAAAATATGAGAATCTAGATGTATATCAATGTTCACATTTGGGAAATGAATAAAAGTTTTTCATTGACCAAAAAAAAAGTTTATCTTCAATACTAGCCATCCGATTGATACCTTGAGTTCTCTTCTCTTACCTTCACCAATCTTGTAGGCACTTTACCGTATGTACGGTATACGGATCTAGCGATGTCCTATGATCATCGATCAAACGTCCTGATGTGCTGAAGGCGGATTCTGAATGTACTATGAAAACATGTACTTATTAGTAAGTCACGAGCCATGATGAAAAGTATATGATATGAAACTATTTCATATACTCTCCACCATTACAAAATATTGAAACTATTATTTTGACTTTTAACTAAAGACGCAGTTAAATATTGTTCAATTTTTAAAATTTCCACTGATGATCCAGATCCAGATCCACCAGTTTGCTTAGCTATCAATAATTTCCTATCAAAACTCTTACATTTACCCTGGCTTGAACGCGTAGAAACAAAAGCTGTATGCTGACGTGTGCTTACACCATATCTAGCTGCATAATCATAATATAATCTTTGAAAATAAGTTTTAATAGTATTATGATGAGTAAGCATAGTAATAGTTTGACCGTCATCAGTGTCTATTATCATGTTACCATACAAAAAATTTAACAAATTTCGAAGGTCAACATCCTTCAAACATGGATTAATAATAACCCCTAAACCAAAAATAATAGGAATAAGCCTAAAATACTTATTAAATTTACTTTTTATTTGAAAAATCATATTTTCAAAATAATTATACATACATTAATTAGTAAAAAAAGTTTGAATATTTAGAACTTGTAGAGCAGCTTGAGTAATAGTTGGATAATAACAACCAGATATTAACATAGTAGCGTCATAAAAAACTTGTAGCATCTCTTTTACACTATATATAACTGACCATTCATCCTCAGTTATTCCATGCATACTACCGGAGCTAGAACTAGAATTATAGAAAATAATAAAATTATTTATAATTTTTTATACTCTATTGCTACATTTAACATTATATAAGTAGAATTTCACCTATGTTTTTAAGAACAATAAACTTGATGACGCATTTTTTGGCTCTAATTGCGTCATAAATCCATCTACCGAGACTACTGGAGGATGAAGATTGAGAGAATAAGGATTGTCGGACATCACCTTGAGCCGTTGTCTGACATTTATTGTGTTTTTCTAAATGGCGTTTGAGGTGGTTGGTGCCGCTTTTATGATGAGCTTGGAAAATATGTCCACACAATGCACACTTAGTTTTTTAGGTGAGAAGCCTACCGTGTTGATCCTTGGTCACTTCTATCTTCTCGAAGAAGTTTCACACATCGGATCTCAGTTTTTTAGGAGCTCTAGGTGCAGAATCATCGCCACCAAAATCGGGATCAACATCGGTAGGAGTAGGAGGAGTAGTTGTAGCTCCTATAATAGGAGTATTAATGCTCATTTTAAAATCGAGAGTTGGGATTTGACCTTCATAATCAGATGATGAAGCCATTTGATTAAAGAATTAGAGAGTATTAGCGAGAATAAGAAAGTTTTAGAGAGTAAAGAGGATATCAGAGAGAAGTAGATGAGTTTTGGATGAGAAAACCAAATGAAAACCCTCTCCATTTATAGAGGCAACCTCCTAAACAAATGACAACAATACCCTCAAAATTTGACCATTTTGAGGGTATTTCGGTCAAAAGGTCAAAATGGCTGTTAGGGTCCCCGGACAGTCTGACCCGACCACAATTCTAGCCCGTAGCCCGGTCCGCCCGGGATTTCTGGGCCAAGCCCAGGCCCGACCGAGCCCAATTAGACAGCCCTATCCATATCTTTCATATTTTGAAAGTTCCCAAATATTCATATCCTGAAATTAATTCACAAAATCTTAAAATATTTTGAAATTAGTCTCCTAATTTTTTTTAGAGTTTCGAAATTAGACCTCTAGTTAGCACTATGTCAAAAGATTTGGAGGACTAATTTTAAAACATTTATCATATTTAGGAGACTAATTTCAAGATTTGGAGAACTAATTTCAAACACCTAACATATTTAGGTACTAATTTCAATCTATGAAGACGTAGGGGGCTAATTTTAAAATACTTAACGATTTGTGGGAATAACTTCAAAGTACGAAAGGTGTGAGGGACTAATATTTTGGTGGTGTCGGTTGAGTTTTTGTAGTTTTTATTGGGTTTTCATTGGGTGTCATTCTTAGATTAGTGTAGATCTCTCGGGTTTCAAAATGCGGTCACTGGCTTGTTTGTTGGGTAAGATATGAGACTCGTGGGTTTCGAATAGGAATAGGGTCATGGCCCTCTTTGAGCAAAGTGTTTAGGGTGGATCCGCCGTCGCAAGTAATCTTTTTTCCTTAAAATAAAGTTAAGCAGAATTGAGGAAATGAAAGATATTCCAAATAATAGATTAGAAGGTGGCGTGAGATGATGAGGATTCACCCTTCATTCCTGTGTAAAGATGTCATCAAGTTCGCAAGACAGCAGTTTAGTCGCCTTAGTTGAAATGAGTTGGTTGTTTTTACCCCTGTATATAGTAAGTTTGTAGTTCTACATGGTAGGAAGTGTTGCTATCATCACTCTGTAACTATAGTGTCTGCACTTCATTTCTATTTGGTAACGAAAGCTACATGGAGTCCTAAGCGAGTGCCACCAGCTTTCGCCCCAAAAATAGGAGGTAGTGTTGGATGAAGGCCATTATGTTAGCCCTTGACCTAACCCCACCCCTCTATTTTTGGGGCGAAACCTAGCAACTATTTGGCTGCGCGACTGTCTCTAACACTCCTCAAGCTAACATTCTTTGCCAAAAAATAAAAATAAAAAAAAAAATTTGTTTTTGAGAGTAATTTTTTGGGCAAAACTAAAATTTGGGACATCAAAGTGAAATATGAGGTATTACCCCGGGCCATTCCTCGTGGACACTTCGCATTAAAATTAAAGCGTTAGAGTTTAAAAATAAATTATCATCAACAGCCCACTATAGTCCATAACTAAAACTGGATGAGTATCCATACCGCGGAGTTTTCGAACGAAAATGTTAAATAGGGCCATAAAACTCACTTCTCAGTGGAAACCCAAGCCCAACCCAACAGCCCATCATCAAACCCACCACCCTAAATCCAACGGCCCTCAATCAATCCCCTACGCTATATATCCCCGTCTTTTATTCCTCGCTCCCACCCCCATCTCCTCTCAAAACCCCTAATGCTCAACCGAGCCCTAAGCCGCCGCGCCTCCGCATCACTCATCATGACCAGCCAGATTCAAGAAGGAACCGCGAAGAAGCGCCGGCCAGCAGCGCGGGGCACGGCCGCATCGGCACAGCACCGCAACGCACCCGGCGGTCGCGGTAACGCGGTAGGCATTTGCACACGCAGGCCGGATCCTCTTCGACAAGTACCATCCCGGTTACTTCGGCAAGGTGGGGATGCGGTACTTTCACCGCCTCCGCAACAAGTTCTACTGCCCGACCGTCAACGTCGAGAAGCTCTGGTCCCTCGTCCCCGACGACGTCAAGGAGCAGATCAAGGCTGGCAAGGCCCCCTTGGTCGACGTGGGGCAGTTTGGGTATTTCAAGGTCTTGGGGAAGGGGACGCTGCCCGAGGGGATGCCCGTGGTTGTGAAGGCCAAGCTCGTGTCGAAGACGGCGGAGAAGAAGATTAAGGAGAATGGCGGGGGGNGTCGTGCTCTCGGCTTGACGGGCTGGGGATCCGATTTAGGTTTGGTTTTTCCTTTTTTTTTTGAATGAGTTGTTGTTTAGATTTTGGACCTGAATGTTTGTTTGGAGTTTATGCGGTTAAAATGAACCTAATATGGATCTATCTAGCTAAGTGTTTTTATGATATATTTTGTGTTCTGCATCATGGTTGGCTGATTGTTAGGATTGGAATTTGCTGCATCGTTAATTTATTTTTATTTTTTTATCAGGTTTATTTTACTGTTTATCATTGTACCTGTTTGTTATTTCGTAGATGAGGCCTCATTAACAAATGATTGCGTTTTCGCGCATCCTAGATGAGGCCTCTTATGTTGGTTTATCTAGCGAAGCCTTTTATCATAAGGTTTGGCTTATTTCATTTTTTTGTTATTTATATATGAACGGGGAAATGTTTTGTGTTCAATGATTAGATGCTGTTGATTGCTAGGAAGTAAATTTGCTGCATCCTTGCTGGAATTTTTTCTGTTAAAGTTTATGTTTTTTATTTTTTTATATTATATATAATTGCTGCTTAATCCTTCATATGTGTTGGTTGTTCTGTTATGCTTCATTGGCAAAAAATCATGTTTGTTTATGTTATATCGGTTGTTAATGCATCCTCGTTATGACTGTTCATAATTTGTGAATACTGCAATGGTAGCTACTTAGCGAGTGATCTGTAGACAAATTCTCATTTTGGTGTTTTTTGTATATCTTGAGTCCAGAAGTTAATTGTTTGGTGGGGAGAGAACACCACTTCCGTTGAGAAAACCCTCCCTTCGTTCTGGGTACTATTTGCTTCTCAAATTAGTGATGTCCCCAATTTTTCTTTTAGATAAGCGTACCCCTGCGATGTTGGATGTGTGCCTTGGTTAGAACTCAAAACCGGTTTGTGGTGGATGTAGTAAAAAAAAATTATTAGTTCTCTACTTCTTCTTTACTAGATTAATGATTTTATATTTGATATTCCTCTCATTATGTCTTTAGAAGCTGTAAATTATAATCCATGTTTCTTGTTATTTCATATTACATTATCTTACAAATATATTCTATAAGTTTCCAATTTAGCTTTCTATTTTTGTGAGCATTTTTTTTTTGCTTATTTCTATTATAAATTTTTCTGCTGTGGATTTAATTTGTTTTTTTAATATAACTTTTTTATGTTCCTAGTAATCTAATGTTGGCTTTTATTGTATTGGAAGCTTTTTGGAATATTCCAGCAGAAAGAGTTGGCTTGATAGTTTCTACATCAGTTATCATTTCATTTTGGTCTGTCATCGGTCCTACGTGTTGTGCATGTTGTAGTTAAAACTTCATCAATTGTGGTTTGAAGTTTGAGCTACTCCATATTAGAATTTCCTGATTTTGTATTAGGCTTGTTTGTTACATAGACGAGTAGAATAATAAGATGTGCAAAATTTCATTGTGGAGTCACATTGCTAGCGTGCTTATTTCTTTGACGATAAGGCTAACTAATCTAAGGAGTGAGCTTCTGTGGTCCTATTGGAAATGTTGTGGAAATTGAAATAAGGTATAGTTAGTTATTAGGATGTGTTGTGACAAATGTTTGTGAACCTAGTTGTCCTGTAGATTTTGTAGTTTTTGTATAAATGTATATGCTCCTAAAACGTTTATAGTATTTCCTTGTTACAGAATCAGCTAGTAATTGGTTGATAATTACCCTTGAAAAACAAGCATTTAACTTGAGCTGATAGTGTTATATTAACATGACAAAAACAGATAATATCAAGCAGCTAGTTTGGCCTAGTTAGTCATAGCCTGGTTTCTCTACCTGAACTTTTTCCCTAATTGGTTTAATCATTATTCTAATAAGTAATTGCAACAACATTGATCATTATTCTAAAAAAATTCTGCTGCATATTGTGTTGAAGTTTTCTTTCACTTCATTGTAACTTGTTTATTAGACCTTGTAAAGTTTCAAGTATATGATATCATTTATAATTGAAGTTGTGTATATATTTATATATATATATATATATATATATAGTGT